TGTCAGAACAAGATGTGACGTTACAGATTCTCCAGGAAAATACAATGAAATGCAAAAATCTTCTTGGAACAAAAATGTTCTGTTTCCAAAATGTCAAAATGATGTTTTGACATTACCAAAAGCTGTAGTTTCAGTTAAACAGAGTTTTACATTAGAAAGTGACATGCTTTTATGGAGAGTTTTGATTTTGACAAAGTGGGATTTTCCAGCATTGAAGCCATCTGATAAATTCTAACCAGTTTTGACTACTGATACACTACAGCCAGTTGGATTTCTAAGTGGAGGAATTAAAATCACCTTTTGAAAGAAAGAGAGGTTAACTAAGTTCAAAATTATGGGGAAAAACAAGAAAAATATTTTTTTGAGGACTCTCTGAAGGTGACATTACTAATACAGCAAGATTTTTACATATTTTGGGATCTTTGTGGGGAAAAGATTCTTTTTTTAAAAGAGTAAGAGTGAAAAATGAACTGTACAGGTTTGGTGTTGATACGAAGTCATCTCTGCCTCAACCAGACAGCCGGCTGAACAGATTTCCATTCTGTCCACCATGGACACAAAGTGATGCGGGTGGGTGTTACCTTCCAAGCATTGGCACGTTTAGGGCTCAGTATATTACATCACTGGATAGTATACGACTTTTCATTTAACACGCTTGTTCAGCTATTCCTATTAAAGATGTTTCAGTGTGCAGACAGGATTTGCTGAAAGCTGGTCAGTCCTGTAAAGATCCAATCCTGCAAACGTATGCACACAGCTTTTTTAATTTGGGGGAGTAGTCCCCAAGAGTTTGGTGAAAGTCTTGTGGGACATGGTTTCTCATATCGTTAAGGATTTTCAGGATAAGGTCTTTTGGTAGGAGTTCTATGCTAGCAACATGCATCAAGTTGAATTTTATCCCATGAGGTATTTTTGGTAATACTCTGTTCCGCATTAACAGGGTCAGACAGTATGACGTCTTGTATATTATCAGGACCCCGTTTCTCAGTTCAGTTGAGGCTATCTCTAAAATAACCTCAGTGACTTACAAACACTTGCTACCACTGCTCGTCATGTGCTAAGGGTTTAAATCGTATGGATGTGTCCCTTTGTCATCCTCCTTTGTGAAGGATGAAAATGAGGGCATACCCACGCCACAGATTACCTCCTCAGCCTGACACCTGTCCTCTCCCACCTGGCTACATGGAATATCAATGAGCACTTTTTGGATTTCTGTAATAGGCAGAAGAGCATTCTTTTTAATCCACTTGAGACAGAAAGCCCGGCACATCTGCATATGTGCTGAAAGCCGCAGCTCAATCGGGAACCAACCCTACAGCATCCACCTCAGACCTGACCATCATTGCAAAGTGCTGAGATGTGCCCTGTGTTGCCAGCTCCACCTGGGGAATGCTCCCTGCCCCGGCTCCCTCACTTTTTCAAAACGCAAATAAAACCAAACCCAGAAGTTCTGCTTTTTCGTAGAGTGCCACAAACTGTACGCCAGACAGAAATGGCTCAGGGAACGGAGCCGACAGCCCCGCACGCCAGACACCGTGGGAGCCATTCACCCCCTCTTCGGCGTAACGGGAAACATCCTGTCAGAAACACTCTCTGCATTTGGGTTTTTCTTGAATTAATTATCTGTAAACAGTGACGGGCTTATCCTGCTGGGAGCCTGTGATTCCTTGTCAGTGTTTATAGATGTGCTCGATAGGAGAGTCGTGATGGTCAAAGCTCATCAGACAGAAAGCACCATGGCATCAGAGCTCCAGCCTCAAGTCTATTAGGGCTGCTCCCTCTAGTGGGAAAAAGTACTTTAGCTGCAAAACCACCTTTTCCCCCCTATTTTCTTTCTTTTTTGAAACTTTTTCCTTTTTTTTTTTTTTTAAATGAAGAATCAAGTTTTCTAGATAGTGCAAGACATGGGGCAGTTCCCATCAGACAATAGGTGACCAAACGCTGCGCTTTTCCAGCCCTTGAGCATCGGTGGTGGAGCTGGAGCCCAGCCGACGCAGGTCAGCGGTTAATCCTCCGAGGTGGACCCATGGCAAGTGAAGGACTCTTGGTTAGTCTTCCAGCAGTCCTCAGAGTATGCCAAAGCTGTGTTTGTTTTTGAGTTCCCACTTTCTGATTACAAAAATAGGACTTACTATAATCATAATAATATTAATGATACAAAATAATTATTGTAATTATATTCTTTTTGGCAAATTATTAACACAAAGCAGCCCAAAAGAGCCCATTGGATTAAAAAAAGGTGACGATGCACAAATGTTAAAAAAGACAAAGTCTTTGTTAAAAAAGAGAGAAAAACAATCTGCAAATGAATGCATTTCTGTAAGGCAACATGTTACCTTTAGTTTTCCGTCTAGATTTAGGTCAGGTTGTTGTTAAAGAAATTGTTAGAACTTGGCTTGCTTGAGCTTATCAATGTGGTAACACAGTTTCAGCGCAGGTCCCAGTTTCAGCCCCAGGTATTTCATGATCATGTCACTTTTCAGCAATAACAAAGCATTGCCATCAATCTCCTGGTTTCAAAAGAGAGAAAGAGAATCAAAATGTGTTAATGCCCTTCCAGCGCTGCATCCTGACACTTTAAACAAGGTGAATCAGAAACAGCATGTCTTTCAGAGTAGAGCTAGCTGAAATGTCATGCATTTTGAAATTTCATTAAGAAAATTGAAATCTGAGGTATGATAGAAAGAAACTCTAAAGGAGGGGTTAATCAAATAGTACTTTTTATTCTTCAATGAACTGTAAGGTTTGTCTAGGTTTTCAATTATTTTGACATTAAAACATGAGGATTTAAAAAAAAAAACAAACAAATCGGGGTTGTTATAAGCCCAATTCTAAGCCAGTCAACCTTGAGAGAAAGAAGTGAGTGATGGAGAGAGGGAGAGGGATGTGGCATCATGAACTGCTAATAGCACACCTCTGAATCTCAGTTCCAGCTTTGTCCCTGACTATCTGCGTGTTTTACATATCCCCAGTGCACCTATATCCAGTGATATATATATATTTCTTTTTCTTAAAGATAGTAGTAACTTGCTTATTTTATTGCATTTATTAATAAAATTTGTTCAAATTTCATTTAACCATCATGCAAGTGGAGGAAATTACCGCCAAGTTCAGTTTTTTATCCCAGACCTGTTGGCTTGAAAGCCTTTTGAAATCACAAAGTGAGCAGAAGGTAGCTTGGGTGTACAGAGAAACGGACTCTGGTTTGCTATGGATTGTAAAGCACAGAAGCTGTCAGCTGCACTGTCCTTCCTTGGATCCTGAGCTTGTCTATTTTTTCCCCGACTATATTAGTGGATCTGCTAAAAATACTACCCCTCCCCACAGTCTCCACCACACTTACATACTCGGACTATTGGAGCTAAAACATAACAAGTGCTATGTGTGTGTGCACAGATACACACATACACACACATACTAACGCTGTATCTATTGCATTCTGGTTTTTGATGGTCAGATCTTTCCTCTGTGATCCATTACCTACTAATTAAGCAATACTATGGATCCTAATTTGCCCTGATCATTATTATTCCATTCAGTAGGTGATTTAGCTGATGAGCAGTTAAGGTCACTTTCTGATTAACTCAATCAATTAATGCTCCTCATTTTGCAACCCCCATTCTATCCATAATAGAAGCACTCTTCACCTTCCCCCTCTCCTTCCCATTATTTTAAGGAAGCTAAGGGAAAGTAAGAATAAGTATTACAGGTAATTAATATTTGCATAAGAAAGAAAAACAAACTCCTGGAACTGTGGTACCATAGGCTAAAAACACTGTCAAGGGTTTGGTGCGGAGGCAGCTGTTTCTAAATGTTGAGTTCAGCATTTTATTATTTCCTTTATTATTAACGTGTAGGGGTCAAAATTAAACTCCATGACAAGAGTATGCCAGAGGGAGCATTCATATCCAATTAAATATCACATATTTGCCATGTCCCTGTGCAGATTGTTGGCTTGACTTCTCTACAGTATTACTGTATCAGCCCTTTTAAAAAAGAATTTTAAAAAGGATTCTATAGCATGCTCCCCAAATCTGCAATAGCCCCATCAGATCTGGAACCACATCTGGAGCTGGTAAAATTCAGTGCCATCAGTGCAATTAGCTTGTTTCACATGAGTTGAGATCTGTCCCATTGCAAGTTAGAATATTGCAGGAGATCATTGCCATGTTCCTGCAAGGGGATGGCCACAACAAATGTATGAGCTGCGAGGTCATGATACAGTGGGCATAAACATACAGCTTCCACCTGCAAGGATATTACTGTGTTTGTGCCAGCTTCTTGCAGCACTTGTTCTGAGGATACTGTTCAAAAAGCAGAGTAGCCCCTAAACAAGCCCTGTGCCATCCAAACAAGAATGGCATCTGGTGGTGGATGTCCCCCAGGATGAGGCTTTTAATGAGAAAGGTGAAAGTCCCCATCTTCATGGGTGTTTAAGCACTTAATTCTGAGTAAAATGAAAGACTTCAGGATCTATATCCTGCTTGGGAGATAGACAGATATCCTTACTTTTGTATTCTGCAATCTCGTGAACAGACACCAACTCTGGTAAGGCCACCACCCCCTGCGACAGGAGTGCAGGGAGTGCCAGCTCAGTGGTCAGTGCTCAAACACTCAAGATGAAGAAGGTCTAGAGAAAGATGCGTGCTCACAAGTCTGACGTCTACCACTGGCAGAGACAGGTTTCTATTTTAATAAATTGGCTTAATTACCTTAAACTCAAAGGGATTTGTCTCCTTCATACATGCATTTGCCAATCACTGGCCATAATTAAACTGTCAGACCATAACATTACTTCAGTCTCTTCCAGCTTGAGTTTTCTACCTGCTAATTCCCTGTCTACCTCTTTCCCCTCCTACATTCCCTCCCTCAGTCTTTCTACCAACTCTTTCTTGCTGAGAGCGCACTGCATGGGACTTTCATACAGCGCCGCTATGAGGTCCCTGCCAGGCCAATGGCTCCTTTGCACGAGGCCAAAAGATGTATCAGTTATGGGCTAGGCTTTCCTTGGCATACATCCCTGCTGAGAGAGCAGGGAGCTGCAGAGGGGAGGAAGTAGGCATTTTCATGGTCTTTGGTTGACAATCTCAGGAGCCTGCCTGTGACAGAGCTCCTTGGGTCTCTTAGCAAGAAGAAAAGCTTCTGCTCCTGGTGGGAAGAGCAGTGCCACGGCCATCCTGCAATGTATATGGCAGCAATGAAGGATGCAGGCCGCGCCTCCTTGCACCCTGGGAGAGCCAGCTCCTGGGGACTGCCATCAGCACCCAAATGGTTTAATAGAGCAGTGGGGAAGAGCACTGCCCGCACACAGGATTCCCCCCTCCAGCCTTTTCTGCCTGGTGGTCCTGCCACCCTCTCCCTCCCAGTGTCATAGCTCAGATGAGCTGATTGCCAAAGCAACAATTTCAGGTGATAGCTGGGCCTGGTCATTGACAGTAAGTGCTTCTAAGTAAATTATGCACCTGCTTCATAGAAAGATTGAACATACAGGAAGATATGGCTAAGGTTAATGGACTAATCACTTGTCTCTCACCCCTGAGGTCTCTGTGCTAATCCAGATGAGGTTTGAAGGCTGAAAAATAGCGGAGACATATATAACTCGAAGGCGTAATTGAATTGAGTTGTGGCAATCTTACCCAGGTTCTCACACCTACAGCATATTTTACAAGCAAATCAATGATAAGTAGAGCCTACGGGTGCTGGGTGTTCAACAAAGGATGACAGGGACAGTCTTTATTGGCAATTTAGTTTGGTCTCTTTGGTCACAGAACAGCTGTAGTATCATGGCATGCTCCAGTGCAGCTAGCCCATGACTGCCTGGGCCGTGTCACTGCCCTCTTGCTAGATAAAGGCGTGCTGTGCCATCCTTTGCTGCAAGTAGAAAGCGGACAAAACTGCTGCTTTTGCACAGTCCATATTTACAAGAGGAACTTTAAATGTTTCTCTTCTTTGGGATGTACCTGTATGCCTCAGACCATGGCGATTTTCTCTCCCTTGCATAAAGAGTTTTGATGCACAGCCCCTCCAACAGTCTCAAAAACTCATGCTAAAGCAGGTTCCTTTAAATCTGAAGGTGGCTTGCTTATCTACCTGGTTATCCATGTGGCCCCTGTAGGCCACGTGTTCATTATCAGCTTGTAAGGCAGATCTGACTTCTCTTTAGAAGGCAGGGGAAGTAGGCTGGCACCTGACCTGTAATTGCAGATTTGGTCCTAGCACTGCTGTGCCTGCTCTGTTGTTCTCATCCCACCAGCCTGTAATGCAGAATGGCATATGGCCTCAATACCTGCCTAGGGTGAGCAGACATCAAGGCCTATGTTCATCTTCATTTTCATCTGCTCCTCAGCCACCTCCTCTCCTCAGTTTCTGGAAACCCTGCACCCAGGGTGTAGCTGGAAGTCCATCAGTTGACTCCCTCAGCTCTTGTCTACAGCCCCACATTCCCACCTGTCCCTGCTGCCCACAGGCAAGGAGCAGGACCTTTGAGAACAAGCCTCTCTCTTGCTTTGCAACCTGATGTGCTGATCGGGAGTCAGGCTGGGAAGCTCTTCTCATTTAGACCTAGGTTCAGACACTTACATCCAAAGCCATGACCTCCAGCTGAACACAAGCAAATCACTTTTAGGGTAAAATCCATTTTCATAGCCAGACTGAATTGATCAAGGAGAGAAAGAAGGAGGAGGAGGCTGAAGATGCTATTAGATGTATTGTGGCAACGTTGTATGCAGCAGCAGAACAAGAAACTCCAGATCAGATGTGTGTTTACAGTCTTCCCCTTTATTAACTAAGGATAATATCATTTCCACCACTGGAGATTGCCTAGCAAAAGCAACTATCATATTCTCCAGTGAGTCAGCAGGTCTGTTAAATTTGGTTATGTTGTTACATAATACTGAGGGGGAAAAGATTAAAAGCTTGACTGTTTTGGGTTTCTCCTGCTAAATATCTAGAGACACATAAAAAACGCTCTTCAGAGAAGAATCATAGGTATCCTGGGAAAAAATTGTCATTGAGGCAAGGCTTTTTTGTGCCAGTGTGACAATGAAAAATGAGCAGCAGATCCTCTGTGCTTTCTCTTAGTCTTAGCATAGAAACAATTTATGCTGGCGTAGTTGGGAACAAATAGTGAGCATTTTTGCAGGACATTGTTAGAGTTCCCCCACTGAAGGATAAAGAGAGGAAAGGAGAGGAGAGGAGAGGAGAGGGGAGAGTTGGAAGGGATATACAACAATCATCTAGTCCAATTGCCTGACCACTTCAGGGCTGACCAAAAGTTAAAGCATGTTATTAAGGGCATTGTCCAAATGCATCTTAAACACTGACAGGCTTGGGGCATCGACAACCTCTCTAGGAAGCCTGTTCCAGTGTTTGACCACTCTCTCAGGTGGTAAGTGACCCTTTCTTCAGCCCAAACGCCCCGGCAATGCTGAACACCCTGTGTTCAACCTGGCTGAGCACAAACAGTGCCTATAGCAGCCAAAGGCAGCTGAGAGGTGTGTGTGATGTGTGCTGGCCATCTCCTGGGACTGCCCGTGCACTTGGCTTAAATTACCCAGAAGTGGTAAGGGCAGTCTTCTACATACGTGTTTTCTGAAGAGCTCCACGTGGGGACCTAAAGCGTGAGGGTCTGCATCCTTCACAAACCAAACCACGTCATCCACCGTCCAGGTCAAAGGATTCTTGCTTGATGGCCGAGCCACATCTTTTCGTTCTGGTGAAGGACTTGAGGCTATCGGTACAAAAAAAGCCCACAACAACTCATTACAACAGCACACAGGAATTTCCTTGGTTTGTGAGTGTGCACCGGTACAGCAGCCTCGCTGCAGTGTTGGATGTTGGATCTGTGTGTGCAAGTATCAGCCTGAGATGGTGGAGTGGGGAGAGAAGGGGACTTGGAGCAGTTTCCGATCTGACTGCTTATTGGGAGACACGATCCCAGCTGGCGAATTGTGTTAAAAACCATGAAACCCTCAGGTTCCTGCTGGGAAAGGAAAAATGTGCCAGCTGCCAGGCTCTTAAACCGAGCTGCCCCTGCTGTCTGATCTGCAAGCAGCGGGGATCTTGGCTCGAGAAGACACCACCCTCCCACCTGGAGAGAAAGCACTTCAGCACCAAAGGAGTTTGCCATTGAATGCAAAGGCTAGAGGATAAAATCAGGATTTAGCAAATAGGGTTTTTTTCTTCTCACTGAGATATTCAGACTTGTCTTAGAGCTTAAAGGAAGGTTCTAGTCCATACCCTCCTAATCTTAGGCTCTCGTGAAGCTGACAGTCTCCAATGAATGCCTATTTGGAAAGCTACTAAAACACGCTAAGATGAACATTGCACATGTGACTTTTTAATGGTATAAGCCCTGGATGATTTAAGGTCACTTCGGCTTGCTGTAGCTTTAAATCAAGCGAATAAAGGCACATTGGAATGAAAGTGCATTTATGTTTTTATTCTTAGTCTCCGCAGAATTATAAATCTCAGCCTCCATGTGAATATAATTTGCACCCCCACTTATCCTGCTTCACTATTACAAGAACTATATTATGCCAGGTTACAGGAAAGCTGTTTAAATTTGTTTATATCCTCACCAGGCAAACTTTGCATTAGCAGGTAGCAGCACACACATGTATAAAATGTTGCCCAGACCTGCTCATCTCCTTCCGTTAAGGCCCAGTTTTTAAGAGAGGTGCAAATGATAAGCAAGCAGGCACTACAGAAGACAGAAAAGAAAACGGAGTAGAGGAAGACCACAAATACCTAAACTGGAGCCTGGAGAAGCCCCAAGGAGCCAAGAGGGCAGTCAGAGCTGCTGAGGAGGGAAGGGCCAAGCTCTCCAGAGAAATACGGAGCTTATAAAGATAGATGAAGTGTATGAGAATCCCCATGCGTGACTCAAAACATGATCCTAATGTGTGAGAGCAAATGTAGTGGGCTGGGTTTGTGGCTCATGTAGATTGTCATTCCATTGACTTCAATAGAGTCATGCTGATTTATATTAGCTGTGGCTCTGCCCATAGATGCCCAATAACAGCTTTATGTGCTTATTGGTCTTTTTTTTTCTTGCCGCCATGCTCATCTTACGGTATAATGTAATGAGGTATATTTTGCAGTTATGAAGGATGAACTCCAGTAAGCAGCAGTGATATGAATGTGCAAATCTGGTCGATGGGCTTCATAATGGGATGTGATGTAAATATCATGATAATTACACTCTCATTTGCTAAGTCACTGTTCTGGATATAAAGGACAAGGAATAGCCGCAGGTCCTCTTAATTAGACAGCGAGGATTGGTGTTCATATGGACTCAGGCGACCCTGGGCTCCGCTTACAGAATAAATGCAATACACAATGGTACAGACACCATCTGGAGCCTTTGGCATGAAACAATGAAGACAAAGAGTGCAAAACAAGCAGGATAATCTTGGCCAACCCCTGGATCATTAGTAACATTGAGTAACTTTGTCAGGGACAAGCGGGAGAACTGAGACTTGTCTTGGAGGCAGAGGGGGGGAGTATTTCTCCCCTACCTGATCTGCCGATGGCCTGGGTGCCAGCCGATGTGGGCTCGGCATCTCAAACCAAAGGTCAGGGAAGAAACCAGGCTTTGGCAAAACAGCTGGAAAGTAGAGCTGGGGGGAGAGAAAGGTTTGGCTGTGCCCAAAGGATTGAGGAAGTTTCTATGCTACTGCCATAATGGTGTTGGGGGGAATGTGCCACTACTGAGGTTCCCATGTTTTCCCTTAAATTTGTATGAATATAAGGAAAGCTTAGGGGGCTTAGCCTGGGATTCACACCATGCACAGAGAAAGCAGCCTCTGGCCCGGTGACTCCTGCCCGCAACCTGCTGCTTCCAGAAATGCCAGGAAAGGGCAAAGGGGAACAGAGAGCCCCGTGAGCGGTTGGGAGCCTTCACAGGTATTGGAAATATATGTAGTAAAAGGAAAGGGGGATGAGAAGAAAAAGGTTGAAATGACAGGGGAATTCTATTCGCTCCTTCGCAATCTAGCAATCAATAGCATAAATCTGATTTTTTAAAGACAACTATATAAATGACCTTTCTAAAGAGACTACATGGCTAGAACTCTTCCAGACCCCAGCAGGTGAAGATAACCCTTTCAAATCCCTACCTGAGGTATAACATAGTAATATAAAAATAAGATTTATGCATAGATACTAACTCTTCAAAGACTGTTTTGTCTTCATTTACCTACCTAGAGCCAAGTCCTGGATTCCCGGCTGCTTTTATGTGAATGAAGATGTGTTATTTTACTTGTGTGTAAGGGGCTACCTTTAAATGTTGTTAGTAAAACTGGGGTACCATCGTCAGCTTGCAGACAAATGTCTTGAATGCAGTTTGTAGCTGATGAGTATGGAAACAATGTGGTTTTCCATATCTTTTAAAAAGTATTTTGTTGTTTAATTTACTCTGGCTTTTTAACATTGTAGCCTACACATTTAAATGTAATCTCTTTATTTGCAAAAGAAAATAAGTCATTTCATGTCCTCACAAAGGTATGGGGTTTATGTTTCAATAGCATCACTTTGCTGAAAGATTATATTAAGTACAAAAGTGTTTGATGGCAGCAGGGCAAGTACTATACATTTTTTCTTATCTGAAGGTATTCACACTTAACCTCAGAATTAGATAAATGAGGAAGTCTCATGTCTCCCGGGTATCCTATGCCATCCTGTCATCAGAATTAATCAAGATGATAATGCATACTCAGATTACAAAGAGATGGGAGTGCTCGCGACCAATAATTATTTTTAGAGATCGTAATCTAGGTCAAATCCAATTTCCTGTTTTTGACAGGTGGCAAAAATTTGTCAAATTAATGGAATGGGATATGGAAATTTAGGTAATCAGAGGGAAGCACTTCCCTCTCCTGCCTGAAGCAGTGTCGGGAAGGAGAGGGAAGAGGTTCCCCTGCAGAAGAAGATGTTGGGGCGTCCCAGTTGAGACCAATGCCTGTGCAGAAATGGCTGGAGATACCGGGTCAGTGTCCAAAGCCCAGCAAAGCTGATGTAAAGATGTAGCCTGGCTTGGTCTGACCGAGCTGATGGCTGAGCTCTCACCCCACGCAGGCTTTTCTCTGACCCCTACCTCTGGCCCTGGGATCTTCCTGGGAAGGAGGATGGAGAGAGAGAAAGCCAACAGCCAAACGGCTGCAGAGGCATGACAAGGAAATCTGATGCTAAAATGGAGTTAAACCTGTGAAAGAAGGAAAGATAAATAACAAACTCCCTAAATGTGTTCTTGGCAAACAAACAGAGTCCAGAGGGAGTACGGTCATTGATAGATAAAAGTGGAAAGGGAGTGACAGATGAACTTTAATATTGCTGCAGGCCTAAATTATTTCTTTGCCTCAGGGGAAGGGGGTGGGAATGAAATTTTAAAAGGTTCGCTCTGATTGCACTGGAGCAGATAATAAGGAGCAGCAGATCGACTGAAACTAAGCAGAAGTAGCAGGCCCTCAAAGGCGCAGAGAAATGGGAAATATTTTAAATAACAACCAACTTCCCCCTATAAACAAGGACAGGGGGAAGGCTTTGTAGAAGACACATTACTAAAAGTCTAGGGCACACCAAGCAGGACAAGAGCAGAGGCATCAAGAAAGCAGGTGTGTGGGAGAAGACAATTACAGGATATTTATGGGCACGGGGAGGGTTGACGGGCCACAGTCAGCAGAGAGCTCCGGAAGGAAGATTGGGCTTAGCACGTCGATTTGCACTGGCAGGCACTCGCAGGAGATGCCGTGCACCACCTGGCTGGTGGCCTCAGCCCCGCGGCGTGGCAGGACAGAGTCCCTGTCCCACCAGCGTGGTGGCTGCTCCCACTCCCAGCGTGGCACACCCTGCGTGGGGATGCAACATCGCAGGTGCTCTTCTGCCCGCTGCAAGAGCAGCCCAGCATCCAGCTGCATGACATGCAGCCATGGGCTGGTGTCATATATTTTCTTGCTTTGCTTCTCTTTTGCAGGGGGGAAATAGGCAGCTCACTGAGACCATGAACCTTTCAGGCTGTAAATGTCCTCAAAAATGAACAGGCGGGGTGCATTTCCCAAAGCAGTGGTACCCAGCCCAGCAATGCCGTCAGCAGCTCATTTGCCACGGCCATGGGGAGCAGCTGGACCTAGCCCCTGCAGGGTGCTTGCAGCATTATTCTGGAAAAAGAGAAACTTCAAACTCTGCACCCCCAAATGTTTTCAGGAAATAAATGTATTAGCAAGCAGGATTGCCTCTTTAACAAAGGCCCTCAGGTGATAATAATTAACTGCTAATATTGGATAATAAAATCTACATAAAAATAACAAGCTAGAGGGCAAGGTTAAGGTTATTATGTTGTGGTTGAACACAGAATTCTTCATACTTGGAATAAAGGCTTTGTTTGTTATGTAAGCAGGCTTGGAAAGGTTTATGATGTCCTTGACTATTCCTTTCCTGATTTAAGAGCTTCAATTTGGCAAATGATGACAGAAAAGTGCATGTTTATCTGTTAGAAGCCCCAACTGGCTTTCTGAAATGAGATTTTTTTTTTCTTTTTTTCTTTTTTTTTTTTTGGTTTGGAATTCTTTAGCATAATCATGGAGAATTAGGCATCGAGCTTCCAATCGCATTAATGAGAGCTTTGAGGTTTAATCTCATCCATTCTGCTTGAAAGACATGTTCTGCTATGCACTGAGATATGTTTTATGGTTATGGTTTTTTCCATGATATTTGCCCACCATGATAAATAAGGCAAGCTATTTTTCAAAAGTATCCATAAATAAAGAGGATTGGCTTGAGGTTTCAGAGGGAAATTCTTCCTCTTTTTAATGAGTTCTGCCCATCCCTACCTCGTAAGTATGCAAACTGAGGAGGATAATAACAGAGACTAGCATGCACCACTTATTCATCTTTGCTCACATATGATTCAGCAGCATATAAATTATCCCTAGAAAGAGGAAAAACACACACAGAAGCATCATAGTGAGGGTGCAGATTCCCAAGACCTTTGCGAGAGAGATTTTGCGAAGAGAGTAATGAAACTCTGGTGTAGCTTCACTAAGGCAATTGCAGAAAGATGTAAATTTTAAAAGTCAGAGATTGCCAGTAAAAGTGGAAGCGACATGGTAGGAGAAAAATATGGTAGCTATGAAGAAATACAGTCTCTAATTTTAAGGAGGAGCAGGCAATGCTTTGTAGGACTCTATGGCAGGAATTCCAGTGTTACTGAGCTACGCTTCAGAACCAACATTATCACAAATGGAGTAAGAGATGAAACCAGGCTGTGACTGGAAACAGCAAAGTTTCTCTAATGCTAGAAGTGATATTGTAATCAATCTGTGGGTACCTTGACTTCTCGTGTGTCACTGTGTTGCACATCGCAGCTACTGCAAACTGGCCCTGTCTGAGGGCCAAATGGTTTTCCTCTGCCTCAGAGGACCCAGCTCCTGCTGTGGACTGCTGGAATCTCTTTTCTGGAGTCTCCAGAAAGCAGCTGAGTGGATCAGAGGAAATGTGATGGATGGTGGTGGCACAACATGCACTAGCCGTTTGTGCTGCTGTACCTCGGTGGAGCACAGAGGTTTGCTGTTCCTCCTGTTGGAGACTTTGACAGCAAACCCATCTCTGTATGGGTATGCGTGTACTTTTATGGCAGACCTTAATCTACAGTGGATGATACCAGGATTAATAAATCGTTAATAATTGTAAATAAGCAATATCAACAAATCAATAACCATTTTTGTGATGTTCATTGCATAATTGCCAGTTTTAGGGAGCCTTTACTGTTTAGCCAGCCAAATGACCCAGAGGTCCCAGAGGAGTTAGTCTATGCAAGTGTCAAATGCTTGTCGCATAAAAAAACCTAAGCAGTTTTGGGATGATTCCTGTTAACCCCAAAGTATCATATGTAGCAGCTTAAAGTCATTTGTAAATGCATCAAAGAGACCCAAATGTCACAAGTGCCTTGTCCAAAAGCAATCTCTTCCTTTTTGCTTCTCGGAGTTCTTTAAAGTGTTTTGACCTAGAGAAATATAGGAACCCGCAAAGCCTATCGCACTTTGACTTTTCTGTTGGTTCAGTTCTGGGAAAAAAGATATGCCATCTTTTAGGCTTTCATTTTGTGAGGAGGGCAAATTTTGTGGGCAGTCATGATAGGAGAGATGGAGCGATGCATCTTCTAAAGCTTAGCTTCCTTCTCAGGCCCATGCTGCGTTTTCACAAGGCATTGGCTGAGACTGGGAAACAGTGACATTCAGAGTCAGAAACAAGAAGGGAAGTAATGCAGCTGAGCAAGCTTAAAGACCTCTGATTTTAAGCTTCAGTCCTTTGAACATAGTTTCAAGCCCCTGATACCAAGGCTTTTGTCCACACAACACATTTTTAAGCATGGGAATTTTCTGGATGCTGAAAATGCGCAAAGTATTCACTAGGCCTCTGAACGATTCAGGGAAGAAAAATCTATGAAGGGTTACTAAATATCAATCCACCACTTCTGGTTCAGGAAATCTTTAGGCCACAAATTTCTGAAGGTGGAGGGGGTACTGGGGAAGCACCACTGTCTCTTAGCCCTTTCCTGGAGTCTGCTGCTGTCTCATGCTGGAGACAGAATGTGCAGCTAGACAGACCTTTGCTCTGTACTGCTCTGACTCTTCCTATCTACTACAAACAGATAAGAACTGATCCTAAGCAGAATGATAAAGATTTTCATAGCAAGCAAGCAACAACGTTGTTAAATCTTGGCTCCTCGGAGCTGCCAACTAAAAAGCTTGACGAAAGGGTCCCAGTTCTGCGAGAAGGCTCTAGGGAAGCACTGGGAGAGGGGAAAATGAATCCTGTGCACAGTAAGCTTCTTGTCCTCCCAGCACCTGATTATGCCAGCCCAAGAGGCACTGAACAAGATCTGAAAGAAAGGGCTTTTCATTTCCTTTTCTTTGTAACTGAGGCCCCAAGTTCTTAGTGACAACTTTTTACAAGTTGTTTGCAGTAGTATGTTTCGATACTATCTACTTTGCTTTGAGTGAAGTTGACTCCGCAAGTAAAGAAAAAATAATGATGAGAACCGAACACTTCTCTGTGCTCTGTGCAATAGAGCAACACAGGGGTAAATCAGGAAAACAAATGTGCAAAAATAATAGCAAAGTGAGCGATGGTTTTGGGTAGGTATTGAACACTTAGGAAGGCAAACTTAGATAAACAAAGAAATACAAGGATAAATACTGGTAGTATGTATTTTGGAAGAATAATGTTCTAAAATATTAAATAGTGAAAGTTCAGGAACAAGAAATAATACAGGTGTTGGGGAGGTAAGGGATGTGAAGGAATTATGCAAAGATCTGTGGCTCTGGAAAGAGGCTCTGGAGTGGTTACCAAGCAAGAATATGCAGAATCACTTGCAGTTTCCAGGGGAAATGCAAGGGCAGGAAGACAGCGTAATGAGCTAATGGTAGACAAAGGGGCCAGGAGAACCAGCAAGGCTTCTGCAAATATATCAAGATTAAAAAAAAAAAAATAATACTAGAATGACAGTAGGTTCCATTAATAAATGAGGAAGGGAAAGAAATTAATGACTTAAAAATGGCTGAGACTCAAGTCCTTTGTTAGATCTATCTTCAAGATGAAAAATGCATAAATGAACTTTGAATAATTAGTAAGGGGTGAAGACACTGTTGGAACCACTACTGATAAAGACCTGTTAATGGAGAACTTGGAAAATGCAAACAAAGACAAAGTTAACGGAAGTTTAGGGAATTAGCTAACTCATTTGATGAACTCAGGTCATTTCTAGAGAAAAACAAATAATAGGGACTATAGCTAATGGGCAGAGTGACCGACCCAGCAAACCTAAATCCTAGCAGGGTAACTGGACAAAAATACAAAGAGAGGGAAGAAGAAGGGTTATTGAATGCAGTGGTTCCTATGGCATCCCTTGAATTTGCAGATAAACTTCTTGTGACTTTACTTCCTGAAGGATGAGATCCCTGAGCAGTGAGCTGGATGAATTCTGAAAATACATGTTTTACTGGGCAGTCTTTTTCAAGCAAAATCTGTCCTGGTTCATGATTAAAGGGGCAGGATGGGCAACGCAGCTAGGAAGTAAAATCTTTTGCTAAAATGCTTTGAGGTAGGCACTAATATTTGTGTTTGCTCTGCATCATGTCTTACACACAGCTGGTGTCACACAAGTAACAGATACCTGCCTGTAGGCAGTATCAATCTTTGGGAGGAATGCCTTACATATTAATATTTACATCCGTAAGTCAGTAATAACAGTTGTGATTGCCACACGATTATATATAATACAGATGTTTACATAATTAATAACAGCATTAGAAAACATTCACCTTTTTACTTAATGATGAACAGATTGATTTTGTGTTTACATAGATTATTATTTCTCCTTCTAAATGGAAGCTTGTGTGGTCTGGATGGATGTCAACCCAGACCCACCTCACGAATTTTCCTGGGAATTTGAGAGTGAGTTAAGACTCCAGCATGGCACCAGCATAGCCACACACATTGCTAAATGGAAGATGTTATATTACCACTTCTGTTTCCTTCAAGATAGGTCTCGTTCCTCATTGGACTGGAGGTCTGATGCCGCAGGCCAGTAGACGAGGATCCCCCTGAAGACATCTGGGCAGGACGATGGCTACAGGAGGAAGAGGAGCCTCCAGCAGGACGTCCGTCTGCAGGACTCTGCCGCATGGCGTACACGGAGCCCACGCAACTGAAGGCAGAATCAGCAGGATCCACGCTGTACCGCTTCATGTTTGCAGAATCAACCAGGTAGTCCTCAGGTACAACCGTTTCTGCTCAGGAAGCCAAGACACAAAAGAAACATCAGTAAAACAGAACAAATTTTAATTCAGCCCTGGAAAAAAAAAAATACATTTTTGCCAAAGTTCCCTTTTTTTTGGCAAAAAGCTTAACTCCATTTCCAACTTTCTGTACAGACAGCTGGCTCCAGGAGGGATCCTTGCTGAGAATTAATAACTAATGAAGGGAAGCAGAACGACTCAGAGGTCAGTATAGTCACAACAGTGAAACTATGGCTTGATGTGACTCCTCTGTGTCAGTTTACAGCAATATTCTCTGTATAGTCCTGGGCCACTGACTGGTAGGTCCCATTTTGCCTCATGGTGCTCCTTGAACACCACCAAGACTGGAGGATTGTGTAGCTCTTGTTTGCTCTGTCTTTTGTTTAAAAACATGAAAGTTGAAAGAAAGAAGGCAGAGGAGGACAACAGGACAGGCAGTTTGTTGGGTTCATAACGCATGGCAGACAGAAGGATGGAGTGATGGTAATAAACCAAAGCATTCTGGCTGCAATTACCGAAATTCATCAGAAAATAACCCCAGCTGCAGCCATGCATCAGGCCTGGTATTCCATGAGGAGAAGAGGCTTGGTGGCTGACAAGCACACCCAAGGTTTATCACAGGCAGAGATGTCTAAGTGAGTCACTCAGACCCAGCTCGTGTTGAGACATGTGTGCTGGCATCATGGGCAACTGCAAACCATTGCTCTGGTTCCTCTCCTCTGCGTTGTACTTTGCACGTCATGTAGGAGCTAAATACCTTGCTTTTCAGACTCCTCCCAATAATCCAAATTTTGCACCTACAGACCTGCTTCAGAGACTTATATTCCCCTTTGCTTGGGGGGGTCTAACACGCAGACATGAGGCAGGTCTAGCCCCAGATTTTGCAGTACACAGACTTTTTTTGCCAGCTCCCCTCAGACCTAGGTCCACGTCCGTCTTGCTTCTCTATCTGGACTGAGACCTCCATGTCTGTGTCATTTTCCTCCTCTGGCCAGTCCCAGTCTCCTCCCAACAGTCCTCAATGTCCAAACTCCTTCCTACTTGCCTTTTCTGTCTTCACAAAATGTAGTCAAGGCTCTTCCTCCTCCTCATACCCACTGCCGTTCTCCCTGCAAAACCAGCCCTCCCCTCATGCAGCCCCAGGACCCTCTCCACCACCATCACCATCACCGCCACCACTGAGATACAAGCAGAGCCCCTGGAAACCTCCCTGAGATCCAAACCTTCCCATAACCCCTACAAATACTGGCAACCTGTGCTTCTGAAATTCCCACTCTCACTGGGTGAAACAAGGTGTTAACACCTGGCGGGCAGGGAGCCGCTAGACTAGGAAAGTGCCTTCCATTGCCTCACAATGTTTCTTTGAGCTGTTGAAAATGCCACTTTCCTCATCATGCATACTCTCCCTCCAGAGACATGTGAGCAGGGTGAAATTACCCCTGTGGTGTCGCACATCTCCTTCCCTGCCTGAGCAACAGTCTCCTCCCAGCGTATTGTGTAGCCCTGTTGAGTAACAGGAAGAATTTATGCTGTGATTTATGCTACAAGATGCAATCCCCATCACTAATACATGTTGAGGCTGTATATAATGGAGTTTTCCTTTTAATTTACATTTTTACTCTTCTCCTTTGAAAAAAAAAAAAGAAAAAAACCAACTTGGCAGCTGCATACAGTAGTTGATGTTAAACAAACATGATTTAGTTTGACAACTCAAATACTCAAGAGTTGTGCCATGCCAGCATCCTGGCTCGTGTGTCAAGCCACAGCCCAGACTTTTATTACATGATTGCCTGACTTTTCAATCACTTGCTGCTGTCTTTTAAAACTTTCTCCCATTCTGGGCCAAGGTTGGACTCGCCATAAGGCAAACATCATTCTGTAAATGTGAAGTTTCCTCGCTTTTGGGCACTTATCTTTGCAACTGCAAGTAACTTTCCTTTAGCAATGTGTTTTCCCCTCAGATAATTTGGATTCTTACAGTGTGCATTCAGGTATCCTGCTGCTTTCTGCCAGGGATTTCTGAGCTTGATTCTCACACAAATACAGACAGGGTGTAATTCTGTTGAATTCAACACAGTTCAGCTAACTTAACACTAGCATAAGAGAAATGGGAATCAGGCACTCTGAACCTTTCTCCCTAACCTCCAACAGATGCCAAAACTGTATAGCAATTGAGCTAAATACCTTGCTTTTCAGACTCCTCCCAATAAACCAAAGAAAATCCAATCAAGCCTCCTCATTCAAAGGAATTTAATTACTGTGTAGAACACTTGCAATAAAAGCCTCTTATGCATAAAGAAGACAGCTCTTTCTGCAGCATCCTGCCTGCACCACATGGAATAATTATGCCTCTTGTGAATCATTACCTCTTTATTCCAGGAAAAGAATGCTCTTTTAATATGATTACAATATGAAGAAGACACAGACTATCAAAACAACAAACAGCACGTTAAAAGAGCCCTGCTAAATAAATGGCATACAGCTTTTATTACTACGGATATAAATGACTCCAAAATTTGTGAGCAGACACCAGGGATGTTTTGACTGATGTCAGAGCCTCTCAGTAGTCTGTGTGAAATAATACATGTGCAGGTGAAATCTCCCCATGGAAGGACACCCATGCGTTGTGTATGAGACTATGACAAGGAGCCAGACACCGTCAGTTCTGTTCCTGACCCTGCCTAAGACTCTTTTCTCGATCTAGATCAATTTATTCCACATCTCTGCTTTGGGGTCCAAAATGGGAGTAATGATGCCTATTGCCATGGACCAAGCAGGAGCCTCCCTTCATTACTGTTTGAAACATGCACTAGTGGAAGGTGCTCTGGGAATTTGAAAAGTGATTTCAAGATATCGTCTTTACTGGACAGGGGGCAGCAGGGATTGTCTCAACCAGCCAGATTTCTAAGCAAGTCTTTTCAGAGCTCCTGATCTTCAAGTTGACATGAGCAGTCAGATTACAAGAGCAACTCATCAGATTCATCTCCTCATGACCAAAAGAAGCTCATGAGGAAATGCAGGTCGCACTTAGATTAGGAAAAAGGAGACAGTGCGTTCAAGTTTGTGTGGTTACAGGTTTTAAATCATACAGTTTTAAAAGGTGCTGGTCAGCTTCTGTTCCCCCTGCTGAGTACAGGCTGCTTTGTAAAACTGCACTAGCTGATGCACCTTGAGCAACCATGTCTCCATGAGCCCGTGCTCTGCAACCCTCTGGCCACCCCCAGGAGAGACTCCCACATAGGATGGAGAAGCAGGCAGGACCAGGGGGCTTTCAGGGCACTGAGAGATCCATTATACCTGAGGGACACTTCAGAGCAGGAAAAGACATCTGCGTTTCATGACCCCCCTCCCAGCAGCAGAGAAGGAGGTGAAGGTGACAGTCCCTATGGTCATGCCTGACCAAGGGCCAGTCATGTCTGACCAACCTGATTGCCTGGTCATAAAGCAACTGGATTTGTGGGCAAAGGGAGAGCAGGGGATATCATTTGCCTTGACTTTAGCAAGGCTTTCAACGCTGTCTCCCACAATATTCTTGCATCCAAGCTAGAACATTATGGTTGGGACAAGTGAGAAACTGGTCAGATGATGAGTCTTAGTGGGTGGTGGTTAATGGGTTGTATGGATGCCAGTAAAAGTGGGGTACTGCAGGGGTCTAACCTGGCATCCAGTTTTGGTCTCCACAATACCAGACAGACATGGACAAACGGGTGAGTTTGGTGGAGGGCCATCAAGATGCCTGGGGCCTGGAGCACTTTCCCTGTGGGGAGAGACTGGGGGACAGGAACTTGTTCAGCCTGGGGGAGAGGTGGCTTGGGGGTAGGAACCTAACAGCAGCCCAACAGGACCCATGGGAAGGTCACCAAGAAGATGGAGCGAAGCTATTCACAGTGGTGCACAGCAGAAGAGCAAGAGACAACAGGTAAAAATTGAAATTAAAGTTTCAGACTGGATGTAAGGAGAAACCTTTCCCCCAAGAGGACAGCAGGGTGGTGGCAGATGTTGCCCAGAGAGGCTGTGCAGGCTCTGGCACTGGAGGTTTTCCAAACCCAACTGGACAAAGCCCTGAACAACCTGGTCTGACCCCATAGCTGACCCTGCTTTGGACAAGGCATTGGACCAGAGACCTTCTGGGGTCCCTTCCTACCTGATTTGTTCTCTGATCCTATGATTGACATCTTTTCCACCCTGAGAAGCAGCCATAGAGGGTGGGGGAGGACCATGGCAAGGGCTCATGTAAGGGGTCCGGGGCCCCGTACAGTGGCATGGGAGGCAGCAGGAGGGATGGGCTCCACTGCCCAGAAGCTACAAAAGACTCTGGATGCTTTTTGTGTTCATATTTCTCCAGCTCCCTCTTAGTTTGTATTGCAGAGAAGCTGCGCAAGTGGGGGCTCAACCAATGATGTGCATGAAAATATCTGCATTTTGTAAGCTCCCAAAAGGCCTTACACATGCACAGCTTGCACAGCTACTAATCCCATTTTGACCAATTAGGGAAAAACATGTTTTCTAAGACAATAGAAGAAAATGTAACTCTCTATTGAGGTTTAAAATGCAACAGTTTCATAAATCTATAGCTTAGCCCTTCTGTATTCTGTCGCGCTTCTGTATTTTATTTTCTGGATAGTCAGCAGAAGGGCGCATGCTAGTGAGAAATTAGTACACAATGTTTTAAAGCAGGATTTACGAGAAAGATGCTTCAAGCCTTTGCTTTGAGCACAGTAGTCTCGGTTACAACTGTTCACCACCCTGAGATGCTCAAGCCATTTTGTCAGTTTTCCTTTCCATGAATGGTCCACGGGCTACTGGATTGAAAAGCCCAAGGCTGTTACATCTGGCACACCTTAAAATGCAGCAAAGGAGAAGAGAAAAAAAAATGCTTTCCCAGTTTAAAAATGCATGTTTCTTCAGCTGAGTTTCTTCAAAGTATAGTATTTAAAGTATATAGCCTGTAAGGTATATAAAGCCTGTACGGTTCCCAGCCAACTTCCTGAAGA